TAAAGAATAAACTTTGAACTTACAGAAAATAGTAAGTACATCCCCCATCGTTCCCGTAGTAGGTATATTCTACTGCAATTATCCTCGCATCTGTAAAACACGTGACATCAGGTAAAAAAGTTACTTATCAATAAGTACTGCACATCCTGTCTTAATGCGAAAACTCGTCCGCTGAGAGCCCCCACTCAGCCTTTCACTTCTTCATCGGTGTTTTTCATTCCCAAGCAAATGCGGGTGACAACGTTTCCGAATATACTTCCCCCTCTTCGAAGTAGTGCATTAACAGCTATTGAAGGCATGCTCTTCATGTAACATGAGCAAAAACTGCCATAGCAACGAAAATAGACAATTTCCCAGTAAAGTGATTGAGACATTTCCGGGGAAAAGAATGGCTGATGCTTTGATTCATCGGATTGAGCCATTACGTGCTGAATGGACAGGCTGAAGAAGCAGCCCAGGCTAAAAACAACCCCTTTTTTTCCAAATTCGCTCCCTGAACACTCACTTGAAGCACTCGAAGTACCACGCTCCCGAGACAAATATGACACAACATGCCCATACAAGTAATGCTAACGAGATGCCACGACGTCGCGTGACGTAAGACGAATATCTAAAAGAGAATAAATTATTTTTATGCAAAAACAAAGGCTATCAAACTGATTCATCACTGAGATCCCCCGATTCGATTAGGAAACGATTCAGTTTTTCCATGCTGCTCCCTTAGCTCAAGTTAGAACTTGATGAGGAGCCTTCTTAGAAGTGTAGCAACTAACTACCGATGGGTAACTACTCGACCGGGGACCACGTGGAAATTTAACGTGACCCCTACTTTTCTAAGAACTTTCTGCGCTAGAGAGATTTGAATGTTTCCAATTCTCTGGATTCGGGGGTGGACCATGTTACCTATGATGAAGAAAAACTGTCTGCAAAAGGTTTTAAACTTCCCGAAAAGCAGGTTCAATCTTTTCAGCTGCGGCACAGATGGTCGGAACCAACCCATCCAGTGCTTTGGAGGATCACTTGGGAATCAAGGAAGACACATTCCCATGAGGACCGTGAAGCTTACGTGCTTGAGGTTCAGAAGGGCACCATCAGGCTTGAAGGAGCTTGAGAACTATTCATCCCAGTACGAAGATACCAGGGCTACCAGGGCAGCATTTATGTTCCACGTCCGCTTTATGAATCAATGAGGTCGTGGCCATACTCAGCGACTAGCCACAGCTACGTCATAATGCCTACGCTACATCCCTGCTGTCATCAGAATATCGAAAACTTTTTTAAATACTTAAAATTCACCTCAATGGATATTTGAAGTAAA